CACATGAGACACACACATGACACACACACACACACACACACACACACACACACACACACACACATCACACACACACACGAGACACACACACACACACACACACACACACACACACACATGACACACACACACGCACACACACACACACACACACACGACACACACACACACACACACACACACATGACACACACACACACGCACACACACACACACACGAGACACACACACACACACACACACGACACACACACGACACACACACACGAGACACACACACACACACACACGACACACACACACGAGACACACACACACACACACACACGACACACACACACACACACACACACACGAGACACACACACACACATGAGACACACACACACACACACACACGAGACACACACACACACACACACACACACGAGACACACACACACGAGACACACACACACAGAGGCAAATCAGCAAATATAAATGTATAAAATTAAAACAACATCACCGTGATTAAGACGTTAAAACTCCTGATTTCACTTTGTCCGAGAAACTCTATCTGTTACATCTGAAACACTCTGTTCCACCTCGTGATGTCATCAAGTGAACAGCTCCTTTTCCCTTTAGTTCAGTCGAGATCGACTGAAATGATCCAGGAGCACTTCCTGTATGACCACATGATGACATCATAAGGTGGAGCAGAATGTTGTCGTGTTAAATGAGCAGGTTTGTGTTTTTACATAAAGTTAAATTTAAGAAGAGAAAGTGTCGACGTGCTTCAGTTTGATCCAATTTTAAAGTTTTACTCTTTTTTTTTTTTATAAAAAAAAAAGAAAAAGTTTGAGTTGATGCTGTTTTTGAGCAAATTGTGAAATTCTTCAAAACTTTAAGAAAAAATAAATAAATTCCTGCTGTTTATTTGTAGATCAGTTTGTGTTTGTCATAATTTTCAATAATAAAATATAATAAATATAATTAAATTTGAACAGTTTGTCTGTTTCACAGAACGACATTAAGACGTCGCTGGTTTTAATTCAGAAAAATGTTTAGTTTTTTTAATCAAATTTACGAAATGATAAAATTTACACTTAAATAAATCAGAAAATCAGCTCATTTTGCTGCCGTTATATTTTCATTTTTTGAGCGTTTGAAAACGTCATTGACGAAACCGTAAAGGATCAGTGTTTTTCTGGTGAAACTTTTTGATTTTCTCTGTTGGTGATTCTCGATTCTCTAAACGGTCATGATCGATTCTCGGCGGCTCTTTTAGGCCCCGCCCCCTCGCGCCCGCGTGTACCTTCTCGGGGTTCTTCTTCTTGCCGTCGCTGTAGTGGACCTTCTTGTTGTCTCTGGACAGGACGAGTTTGCAGTGCGCCGTGTCGGGGTCGAGGGTCACGTCCACGCCGCTCCTGCGCACTCGTCGAAGCTCCGCCTCCTGGACTTGCCGCTGCGTGTCGCTCAAAGCGTTGGTGAAGGCGGCGAGAGCGCGCGCCACCGTCCCCTCGAAGGCGGCGGCTTCGAAGCTCACGCCGCTCCAATCCTCCAGCCCGGCGGGGGGCGCCAGCGCCGCCAGGTGCTGCAGGAAGTGGAGCGGGTCACGAGAGCGCGAGAGACGCTCGGCCTCGGCGCCGCTTTTCTCCAGCTCCAGGATCTCCCGCTCCAGTCGGGACAGGAGCATCTGAGCGCGTTCCTCATGTTTGCTCAGGGTCTTCTCGATGATCTCGGAGTGTCGGTCCAAGCAGCTCTGGACCTTCTCCACGACCTGACTGAAGACCTCCACCATCTCCTCCGTCTGCGCCTGCGCCTGCGTCTGACTCTGCTCCAGCGCCGCTCGGATCTGCTCCATCTTCTGCCTCCGGTTCAGAACCTTCCGTCTGTTCTCGGACAAACTCTTCTCCAGCGAAACCTTCTGCTCCTCAAACGCGTCCTTCAGAGGCAGAAACTCGTGGTTCTTGTGCTCTAGGAGGGAGCACATCATGCACACGCTCTTCTCATCAGTGGAACAGAAGAGCTCCAGGGGGCGCTGGTGTGTGGGACACATCCTGTCTTCCAGGTTTTCCACAGGCTCCATCAGCTGGTGTCTTTTCAGCCCAGAGACTGTGAGATGAGGCTGGAGGTGGCTCTCACAGAAGGAGGACAGACACACCAGGCAGGACTTGAGGGCCTTCAGCTTGGGCTCAGAGCACACGTCACACTGCACCTCTGAGGACGACGACGACGACGACGTGTTCTTCACCTCTGAGGAGGACGAGGACGTGTTCTTCACTTCTGAGGACGAGGACATGTTCTTCACTTCTGAGGACGAGGACATGTTCTTCACTTCTGAGGACGAGGACATGTTCTTGGTAGACGTGCTCTCACTCTGGACCTGGGCTTTGGACTCTTGTGGTTCTGAAGGTCTGGTCTCTGGTTGTTCTTGTTTCTGAGTTTGTTTCTTCACCTGCGTCACAATAAAACGTCTGGATGAGTTTGTGGTTTTCTCCAACACGACGAAAACAAAACTCTGATCTGTCACTGGACAAATGTTTTTAAGATTCATTTTGTTTAAGCGTCTTAAAGACGAAACGTTCCTCAGCAAAGACCTGCCTGAAGATCCTCAACAGTCCTCCAGGTCTGAGTCATCTAGAGATCTCTCATGGGCCCTATTCAAACCCTCCTTTCAGTTAGCAGTACGAGTCTGTACGAGGCTCCGCCCCCTGCCCCCACAGTATTAAATACTCTCTGGAGTAAATATTCTGGAGTAAATACTCTGGAGTAAATACTCTGGAGTAAATATTCTCTGGAGTAAATACTCTGGAGTAAATATTCTCTGGAGTAAATATTCTCTGGAGTAAATACTCTCTGGAGTAAATACTCTCTGGAGTAAATATTCTCTGGAGTAAATATTCTCTGGAGTAAATATTCTCTGGAGTAAATACTCTGGAGTAAATACTCTGGAGTAAATATTCTCTGGAGTAAATATTCTCTGGAGTAAATATTCTCTGGAGTAAATATCTCTGGAGTAAATACTCTGGAGTAAATACTCTGGAGTAAATATTCTCTGGAGTAAATACTCTCTGGAGTAAATACTCTCTGGAGTAAATACTCTCTGGAGTAAATACTCTGGAGTAAATATTCTCTGGAGTAAATATTCTCTGGAGTAAATATTCTCTGGAGTAAAATATCTCTGGAGTAAATACTCTCTGGAGTAATATTCTAAATATTCTGGAGTAAATACTCTCTGGAGTAAATACTCTCTGGAGTAAATACTCTCTGGAGTAAATACTCTCTGGAGTAAATACTCTCTGGAGTAAATATTCTCTGGAGTAAATACTCTCTGGAGTAAAGTAAATACTCTCTGGAGTAAATATTCTGGAGTAAATATTCTCTGGAGTAAATACTCTCTGGAGTAAATACTCTCTGGAGTAAATATTCTGGAGTAAATATTCTGGAGTAAATACTCTCTGGAGTAAATACTCTCTGGAGTAAATACTCTCTGGAGTAAATACTCTCTGGAGTAAATACTTTGATGTAAGCGGCGGGTGCAGTGGCAGGGTCTCACCTGGCAGAGGACCTGGTGGAGGAGGGGGTTGGCGCGCAGGTGCGGGCGGGCGGTGAAGCGGCGTTGGCACAGAGGGCAGCTGCACTCGGAGCTTCTGTCCCAGTGAGACACGAGACAAGTTCTACAAAAACTGTGTTCACACGGAGTCGACACCGGATCTGACAACAAGTCCAGACAGATGGGACACGACAGGTGCTCCTCCAGCGACAGGGACGCACCTGACATGACTGAGGACACAATGAGACATGACTGAGGACACACGACGAGACATGACTGAGGACACACGACGAGACATGACTGAGGACACGAGACATGAGACATGACTGAGGACACGACGAGACATGACTGAGGACACAACGAGACATGACTGAGGACACAACGAGACATGACTGAGGACACAACGAGACATGACTGAGGACACAACGAGACATGACTGAGGACACAATGAGACATGACTGAGGACACACGACGAGACATGACTGAGGACACAACGAGACATGACTGAGGACACAAGAGACATGACTGAGGACACAACGAGACATGACTGAGGACACAACGAGACATGAGGACACAACGAGACATGACTGAGGACACAAAGAGACATGACTGAGGACACAACGAGACATGACTGAGGACACAAAGAGACATGACTGAGGACACAACGAGACATGACTGAGGACACATGACGAGACATGAGGACACAGACGAGACATGACTGAGGACACAAACGAGACATGAGAGACTGAGGACACAACGAGACATGACTGAGGACACAACGAGACATGACTGAGGACACAACGAGACATGACTGAGGACACAACGAGACATGACAAGAGACATGACTGAGGACACAACGAGACATGACTGAGGACACAACGAGACATGACTGAGGACACAACGAGACATGACTGAGGACACAACGAGACATGAGGACACAACGAGACATGAGGACACAACGAGACATGACTGAGGACACAACGAGACATGACTGAGGACACAACGAGACATGACTGAGGACACAACGAGACATGACTGAGGACTGAGGACACAACGAGACATGAGGACACAACGAGACATGAGGACGAGACTGAGGACACAACGAGACATGACTGAGGACACAACGAGACATGACTGAGGACACAGACTGAGGAGACATGAGGACACAACGAGACATGACTGAGGACAACGAGACATGAGACATAGACATGACTGAGGACACAACGAGACATGACTGAGGACACAACGAGACATGAGGACACAACGAGACATGACTGAGGACACAACGAGACATGACTGAGGACAAAGAGGACATGACTGAGGACACAACGAGACATGAGGACACAACGAGACATGAGGACACAACGAGACATGACTGAGGACACAACGAGACATGACTGAGGACACAACGAGACATGACTGAGGACACAACGAGACATGAGGACACAACGAGACATGACTGAGGACACAACGAGACATGAGGACTGAGGACACAACGAGACATGAGGACACAACGAGACATGACTGAGGACACATGACGAGACATGAGGAGACAATGAGACATGTCTGAGGACACAACGAGACATGACTGAGGACACAACGAGACATGACTGAGGACACAACGAGACATGAGGACACAACGAGACATGATGAGGACACAACGAGACATGAGGACACAACGAGACATGAGGACACAACGAGACATGAGGACACAACGAGACATGACTGAGGACACAACGAGACATGAGGACACAACGAGACATGACTGAGGACACAACGAGACATGAGGACAACACAACTGACGAGACATGAGGACACAACGAGACATGACTGAGGACACATGACGAGACATGAGGAGGAACAACGAGACATGACTGAGGACACAACAGACATGAGGACATGACTGATGACTGGACACATGACGAGACATGAGGAGGACACAACGAGACATGACTGAGGACACACAACGAGACATGACTGAGGACACAATGAGACATGACGAGACATGACTGAGGACACAACGAGACATGAGGACACAACGAGACATGACGAGGACACAACATGAGGACATGAGGACACAACGAGACATGTCTGAGGACACATGACGAGACATGAGGACACAACGAGACATGAGGACACAACGAGACATGACTGAGGACACAACGAGACATGATGAGGACACAACGAGACATGAGGACACAACGAGACATGACTGAGGACACATGACGAGACATGAGGACACAACGAGACATGACTGAGGACACAACGAGACATGACTGAGGACACATGACGAGACATGAGGACACAACGAGACATGTCTGAGGACACATGACGAGACATGAGGACACAACGAGACATGAGGACACAACGAGACATGAGGACACAACGAGACATGACTGAGGACACAACGAGACATGACTGAGGACACATGATGACGAGACATGAGGACACAACGAGACATGTCTGAGACACATGACGAGACACGAGACATGAGGACACAACGAGACATGACTGAGGACACAACGAGACATGACTGAGGACACAACAGACATGAGGACACGAGACATGACTGAGAGACATGACACATGACGAGACATGAGGACACAACGAACGAGACATGAGGACACAACGAGACATACACGAGACATGAGGACACAACGAGACATGAGGACACAACGAGACATGAGGACACAACGAGACATGACTGAGGACACAACGAGACATGACTGAGGACACAACGAGACATGAGGACACGAGACATGAGAGGACAACATGACTGAGGACACAACGAGACATGACTGAGGACACAACGAGACATGACTGAGGACACAACGAGACATGACTGAGGACACAACGAGACATGAGGACACAACGAGACATGACTGAGGACACAACGAGACATGAGGACACAATGAGACATGACTGAGGACACAACGAGACATGAGGACACAATGAGACATGACTGAGGACACATGACGAGACATGAGGACACAATGAGACATGACTGAGGACACAACGAGACATGAGGACACAACGAGACATGACTGAGGACACAACGAGACATGAGGACACAACGAGACATGACTGAGGACACATGACGAGACATGACTGAGGACACAACGAGACATGACTGAGGACACACGAGGACATGACAGACACGAGACACGAGACTGAGGACACGAGACATGTCTGAGGACACGAGACATGACACTGAGGACACACGAGACATGACTGAGGACACACACGAGACAACGAGACTGAGGACACACGAGACATGACTGAGGACACAACGAGACATGACTGAGGACACAACGAGACATGACTGAGGACACAACGAGACATGACTGAGGACACAACGAGACATGACTGAGGACACGAGACATGACTGAGGACACAACGAGACATGACTGAGGACACGAGACATGTCTGAGGACACAACGAGACATGTCTGAGGACACGAGACATGTCTGAGGACACAACGAGACATGACTGAGGACACAACGAGACATGACTGAGGACACAACGAGACATGACTGAGGACACATGACGAGACATGACTGAGGACACAATGAGACATGACTGAGGACACAATGAGACATGACTGAGGACACAACGAGACATGAGGACACAACGAGACATGACTGAGGACACATGACGAGACATGACTGAGGACACATGACGAGACATGAGGACACAACGAGACATGAGGACACAACGAGACATGACTGAGGACACAACGAGACATGACTGAGGACATGACGAGACATGACTGAGGACACGACGAGACATGACTGAGGACACAACGAGACATGACTGAGGACACATGACGAGACATGACTGAGGACACATGACGAGACATGAGGACACAACGAGACATGAGGACACAACGAGACATGTCTGAGGACACGAGACATGTCTGAGGACACATGACGAGACATGAGGACACAACGAGACATGACTGAGGACACAACGAGACATGAGGACACAACGAGACATGACTGAGGACACGACGAGACATGACTGAGGACACGACGAGACATGACTGAGGACACATGACTGAGGACACAACGAGACATGACTGAGGACACATGACGAGACATGACTGAGGACACAACGAGACATGACTGAGGACACATGACGAGACATGACTGAGGACACAACGAGACATGATGAGGACACAACGAGACATGACTGAGGACACATGACGAGACATGACTGAGGACACAACGAGACACAACGAGACACTGAGGACACAACGAGACATGACTAGGACACAACGAGACATTGACTGAGGAACAACGAGACATGACTGAGACACATGACGAGACATGACTGAGGACACAACGAGACATGACTGAGGACACAACGAGGACATGACTGAGGACAAAACGAGACATGACTGAGGAACACGTGAGAGACAGGTGAGGGTGAGGGACAGGTGAGAGACAGGTGAGGTACGACAGGTGAGAGACAGGTGAGGGTGAGGGACAGGTGAGAGACAGGTGAGTGACAGGTGAGGGACAGGTGAGAGACAGGTGAGGGTGAGGGACAGGTGAGGGACAGGTGAGAGACAGGTGAGGGACGGGTGAGAGGCAGGTGAGGGACAGGTGAGAGACAGGTGAGAGGACAGGTGAGGGACAGGTGAGAGACAGGTGAGGGTGAGGGACAGGTGAGGGACAGGTGAGAGACAGGTGAGGGACGGGTGAGAGGACAGGTGAGGGACAGGTGAGAGACAGGTGAGAGACAGGTGAGACAGGTGAGGGTGAGAGACAGGTGAGAGACAGGTGAGAGGACAGGTGAGGAGGGACAGGTGACAGGTGAGGACAGGTGAGAGACAGGTGAGAGACAGGTTGAGAGACAGGTGAGAGACAGGTGAGGGAGGGACAGGTGAGGGAGAGGACAGGTGACAGGAGACAGGTGAGAGACAGGTGAGAGACAGGTTGAGAGAGGACGGTGAGAGACAGGTGAGAGACAGGTGAGGGTGAGAGGACAGGTGAGGTGAGACAGGTGAGAGACAGGTGAGACAGGGACAGGTGAGGGACAGGTGAGAGACAGGTGAGAGACAGGTGAGGGACAGGTGAGGGACAGGTGAGAGACAGGTGAGGTGAGGGACAGGTGAGGGACAGGTGAGGGACAGGTGAGGAGACAGGTGAGAGACAGGTGAGGGTGAGGGACAGGTGAGAGACAGGTGAGAGACAGGTGAGGGTGACAGGTGAGGGACAGGTGAGAGACAGGTGAGAGACAGGTGAGAGGTGAGGGTGAGGGACAGGTGAGGAGACAGGTGAGAGGAGTGAGAGGCAGGTGAGGGACAGGTGAGACAGGTGAGGGACAGGTGAGAGACAGGTGAGAGACAGGTGAGAGACAGGTGAGGACAGGTGAGGGACAGGTAAGAGGCAGGTGAGGGACAGGTGAGGACAGGTGAGAGACAGGTGAGGGTGAGGGACAGGTGAGGAGACAGGTGAGAGACAGGTGAGGGTGAGAGGCAGGTGAGGGACAGGTGAGAGACAGGTGAGGGTGAGGGACAGGTGAGGAGACAGGTGAGAGACAGGTGAGGGACAGGTGAGAGACAGGTGAGAGACAGGTGAGGGACAGGTGAGGTGAGAGACAGGTGAGAGACGGTGAGAGGACAGGTGGAGAGACAGGTGTGAGGACAGGTGAGAGACAGGTGAGGACAGGTGAGGGTGAGGGGACAGGTGAGAGAGAGAGGTGAGAAGACAGGTGACGGACAGGTGAGAGGCAGGTGAGAGGTGAGGACAGGTGAGGACAGGTGAGGGACAGGTGAGACAGGTGAGGAGGGACAGGTGAGAGACAGGTGAGGTGAGAGGGACAGGTGAGGGACAGGTGAGAGACAGGTGAGGACAGGTGAGGGTGGGGACAGGTGAGAGACAGGTGAGGTGAGACAGGTGAGAGGACAGGGTGAGGGACAGGTGAGAGACAGGTGAGGTGAGACAGGTGAGGGACAGGTGAGAGACAGGTGAGAGACAGGTGAGGACAGGTGAGAGGACAGGTGAGGGACAGGTGAGAGACAGGTGAGGTTGAGGGACAGTGAGAGACAGGTGAGGGTGAGGGACAGGTGGAGACAGTGTGAGGACAGGTGAGACAGAGCAGGTGAGGGACAGGTGAGAGACAGGTGAGAGACAGGTGAGACAGGTGAGGGACAGGTGAGAGACAGGTGAGGGTGAGACAGGTGAGGGACAGGTGAAGAGGGACAGGTGAGAGACAGGTGAGGGTGAGGACAGGTGAAGACAGGTGAGAGGAAAGGTGAGGGACGGTGAGAGGACAGGTGAGAGGTGAGAGACAGGTGAGAGGGACGGTGAGGGACAGGTGAGGAGACAGGTGAGGTGAGGACAGTGAGGACAGGTGAGAGACAGGTGAGACAGGTGAGGAGACAGGGACAGGTGAGGGTGAGGACAGAGTGAGACAGGTGAGAGGGACAGAGGTGAGGTGAGACAGGTGAGAGACAGGTGAGGGACAGGTGAGAGACAGGTGAGAGACAGGTGAGGTGGACAGGTGAGACAGGTGAGAGGACAGGTGAGGGTGAGGAGACAGGTGGACAGGTGAGGGACAGGTGAGGGACAGTGAGGAGGACAGGTGACAGGTGAGAGGCAGGTGAGGACAGGTGAGGTGAGGACAGGTGAGGGTGAGGGACAGGTGGAGGACAGGTGAGAGACAGGTGAGAGACAGGTGAGACAGGTGAGAGACAGGTGAGAGACAGGACAGGTGGGACAGGTGAGAGACAGAGGACAGGTGAGGAGACAGGTGAGGAGACAGGTGAGAGGACAGGTGAGGGACAGGTGAGAGACAGGTGGAGACAGGTGGAGACAGGTGACAGGACAGGTGAGGGACAGGTGACAGAGACAGGTGAGAGACGTGAGGGTGAGACAGGTGAGAGAGACAGGTGAGGAGAGGGACAGGTAGAGGACAGGTGACAGAGGACAGGTGAGGGACAGGTGAGAGACAGGTGAGGACAGGTGAGGGACAGGTGACAGGTGAGAGACAGGTGAGAGGTGAGAGACAGGTGAGAGACAGGTGAGGTGAGGGACAGGTGAGAGACAGGTGACAGGTGAGACAGGTGGGACAGGTGGTGAGGACAGGTGAGGGACAGGTGTGAGACAGGTGAGGGACAGGTGAGAGACAGGTGAGGGACAGGTGAGAGGCAGGTGAGACAGGTGAACTTGTGGACTTTTAATTAAATTACAGATTTTTTTCTGTAAAAATCAGATTTTTGATTCAGTTTTCGTCGTTTCTCGTCTGTGATTTTTTTTTTTTCAGCTCAAGAAAATGAAGGAAATAAAATTCTCGGGGAAAATCAGTCTGAGCAGAGACTCCAGACTTCCCTCACCCCAGACACTTCCTCCTGCTCTTTTTTCAGTATCGTGATTTCAAATCAGAACAAAGAATCAAAGATCAACAAATATTTTCAGAGTCAAATAAACATAAACAAACATAAACGTTTAGTCTGTTTTTACTCGAGTCGTTTCCTCCTGTGGGTTTGGTTCTTACATAAACNGACAGGTGAGGTGAGAGACAGGTGAGGACAGGTGAGAGACAGGTGAGGTGAGACAGGTGAGAGACAGGAGAGGTGAGGGGTGAGGGACAGGTGACAGGTGAGAGACAGGTGAGGTGAGGGAGGTGAGGACAGGTGAGAGACAGGTGAGGGAGAGAGACAGGTGACAGGTGAGAGACAGGTGAGAGACAGGTGAGGGAGACAGACAGGAGACAGGTGAGGGACAGGTGAGAGACAGGTGACAGGGACAGGTGAGAGACAGGTGAGGGAGAGAGACAGGTGACAGGTGAGGGACAGGTGAGAGACAGGTGACAGGTGAGGGACAGGTGAGGAGACAGGTGAGAGACAGGTGAGGGTGAGGGACAGGTGAAGGTGGGAGACAGGTGAGAGACAGGTGAGGGTGAGGGACAGGTGAGGGACAGGTGAGGGACAGGTGAGAGACAGGTGAGAGGGACAGGTGAGAGGACAGGTGAGGGAGGACAGGTGAGGGACAGGTGAGAGACAGAGAGACAGGTGAGACAGGTGAGGAGACAGGTGAGAGAGAGGACAGGTGAGGTGAGACAGGTGAGACAGGTGAGGAGACAGGGTGAGGGACAGGTGAGGAGGGACAGGTGAGAGACAGGTGAGGGAGAGAGACAGGTGAGGGACAGGTGAGAGGCAGGTGAACTTGGTGGACTTTTAATTAAATTACATATTTTTTTCTGTAAAAATCAGATTTTTGATTCAGTTTTCGTCGTTTCTCGTCTGTGATTTTTTTTTTTCAGCTCAAGAAAATGAAGGAAATAAAATTCTCGGGGAAAATCAGTCTGAGCAGAGACTCCAGACTTCCCTCACCCCAGACACTTCCTCCTGCTCTTTTTTCAGTATCGTGATTTCAAATCAGAACAAAGAATCAAAGATCAACAAATATTTTCAGAGTCAAATAAACATAAACAAACATAAACGTTTAGTCTGTTTTTACTCGAGTCGTTTCCTCCTGTGGGTTTGGTTCTTACATAAACAGTTTCACATAAACAGTTTCACACAGTTTCACATAAACAGTTTCAGGTAAACAGTTTCACACAAACAGTTTGACATAAACAGTTTCACAAACAGTTGACATAAACAACACAAAACAGTTTCACACAAACAGTTTAACATAAACAGTTTCACACATAAACAGTTTCACATCAACAGTTTAAACAGTTTCACATAAACGGTATAACACAGTTTCACATAAACAGTTTCACACAAACAGTTTCACACAAACAGTTTCACATAAACAGTTTCACACAAACAGTTTCACACAAACAGTTTCACACAAACAGTTTCACATAAACAGTTTCACACAAACAGTTTCACATAAACAGTTTCACACAAACAGTTTCACACAAACAGTTTCACACAAACAGTTTCACATAAACAGTTTCACACAAACAGTTTCACACAAACAGTTTCACACAAACAGTTTCACACAAA